GCAAGATGATGGACTTCAATGCAACTATATTAGTGTCTACGTTATATGTAAAGTGATTAAAATTCTCCTTTTAAGACAAAGATTGCCCTATTTAATGATTAATAATCTGTATTTTTTATGAGATGCACTTTAAATGTAAGTGTATCAGTTAGCTACTGTGTCAAGAAAACTCAGTAACCTAAAATAATTTTTGTGATTAGCATCATCATATTTGTGGCTATGGGTTGGCTATGAGACAGCAAGGCAGCATGTTGGTTGACAGCTCCACTTCAGTCTGGCCTTGATGGAGGTTAGCATGGCCAGCTATAGGATGTATCTCTCATTCTCCACATGGAGCCAGTGGGCTAGTGTGAACAGATTTTCATGGTGATGCCAAAAGTACAAAAATATGAGCACACAAATCTTATGGAGGCCTAGTCTCTGCAATTTGCAACACTTCCACTTCAGTCCCTTGGACAATGTAAGTAATATGGCTGATCCCAGAGTCAAAGTTGAAGGATACTACAAAGTTACATGGTAAAAGATCTGAAGCAGAAAATGTATAAAATAAGCCGATTAAATCTTACAGGAGAAAGCAAAACTATCAAAACCTATTCTTCAAAAGCCAATTTGAAAAGGCTATCACTGACCAAAGGTGAGGTCATTTAAGCATCAGAATTAGTAACTGAATAGATTGAAGCTCACTGAATATTTAAATACATAAATTTATAAACTCACCAGAAAAAGAATTAGTTATCATTAGAAGAACCTAGGAAACCCATTCCTTATTCTAAAAACTGTGTTGTTTTTTTTAAAGAAGCATTTTTCTGCCTTTTCTATTTGAGCAATACATTGGAAAACTAATAAATAAATAAAGAGAAACACGTCTTTATAGGAAGGGTGAATAATTAAATTAGAACACCATTATTTTTAGCTGGCAAGCCATATACAGAAGAATGAAACTGGACCCCAACCGTTCATGAAATACAAAAATTAACTCAAGGTGGACTAAAGATTTAAAGATAACACCTCAAACTATAAGAATCCCAGAAGAAAACCTAGGAAACACCATTCTGGACATTAGCCTTGGGAAAGAATTTATGACTAAATCCTCAAAACAACAAAAACAAAAATTGACAAGTGGGACCTAATTAAACTAAATAGCTTTTGCACAGCAAAAGAAACTGTCAACAGAATAACAACCTAAAGAAAAGGATAAAATATTCACAAACTATGTATCCAACAAAGGTCTAATATTCAGAGTCTAGCACCATAAAGGGAGCATAGCATGTCTTCTGTTGGAGGGGCTTAACACCTGCAAAATAATCTTCCCTAGATCATCAAACCTGAATCTGTTCAAGCCTAGAGAGCTGTGATTGTGTTGCTGTACTCCAGCCTGGGTGACAGTGCCAGACCCTGTTTCAAAAAAACAAAACTTCTGGTGTGATTGTCCCCTCTGCACATGCTTACTTTGTTGATAGCTCCAGAAGGTAATTAGAAAACAGAGTATTAGTAATATTTTCTGTTTTGTTGGCTGTATTTGGAAGCTATTGTAAGAAAAAGATAAACTCAGGAAAAATTAGTGGATTATAAGCAAAAATGAAAGAAAATCCAGTCCTAAAATCTGAGGCCTCATGGAGTTAAAAAAAAATTCTATTTCTAGACTCCAAATGGTAGGAGAATAATTTAAATGGTTTTGAGTTTATCAAAGACCTAATAAACGTTTTCTAGTGAAATAAGAGACTCAGAAGAAAGATTACATTAAGAAGCTGAAACCTTCTCATTCAAGGTTGATAACCTTAAAGTAGTTTTTTATTCACCTACCCTAGCTCTGTGCTAGAGAAGCTCAATTTTAGGCAGCTGTAGCCGAGAATACTGGGGCTCCCATACCTAACCTAGCTCCTGCTTGTAGACCAGAGGCTCTTGCCAAGGTGGGGACCCCAATTTCCCTCCTTCTCTGCTCTTGTCTATAGAGTAGATGGTTCACGCCAGGAGAGGCAAGCCAAAAAAGAGATCATTCTCCCAACTCCCACTAATAAAAACAGAGGCTCCAGACTGGCAGGAGTACATTGAAAAGACCTCAGGCCTTCATCTTCCTACAAAGATCTCACTTGTAGGAAGGAGTATCCCCACTAAGAAGCTTCCCTAGATTCCACTGGTAGGGCAGAGGTGCCACTTCAGGAAAATCAGGCATTCCCCTTTGTCTTCAGCTTCCGTGCAACAGTGTAGATGTTATATCCAGGAAAAGAAGCAAGATGGAAGGGCCAGAAACACCTCAGCTCAGCTGGGGGACTGACTGTGATACATAGTATGAAGGGATGCATGAATTAAGGCATGTTGAAAATAGAGATCTTAGTGGCAAGCACCTAAGAGAATTCTAAGTGTCTTAAAACTAGTAGCAACAAATGAAATAGCAAGTCACCCAGTTTAACAGAGTGAACAAGAGAAAGAGATAAAAATTTCTAAGATTATAATTATCTCTATCTGGAAGGCTGTGCATATGTCTATGTTTCACACATTCAGGACCAACCATAACAGGTACTAGCTGAACTTGAGTGAAATTGAAAGAATTTCCCAAGCCACACAGTGATATATTGGCAAAGACTGGAAGTCTTACTAGCTCAAGGAGCTTAAGCACAATCCCTGACCACACATTGGCTAAATGTTAAGATATTTTGACCCAATGGTGACTTCTAGAAAACCCAGCTTGGGGTAAAGGCAACACACTGTAGTGGGGGAGAAATAGAGTTTACAAAGTTAGTACAGGCAAGCCACTAAACAAACTAACAAAACAGAGCCACATCAACAATCCCTAGAGGAGATGTGTCAGAATCCAGAGTTGTTAGAATATATTATTTCAAAAACTATGAGAGATGCAAAAGAACAAAATTATATAACCCTTGTATAGGAAAAACAGCAGCAATAAAAACTGCTTTTGAGGAGGTCCAGGTGTTGAGCTTGTAAGGCAAAGATGCCTAAGAAGCTATTATAAATATGATCAAAAAACTAAAGAAAACCATGTTCAAAGAATGAAAGGAATGTATGATGACAATGACTCATTGGAGGATGTTAGTAGAATAAAAAGTGTTTAAAGATTCAAATAAAAATTATGGAGTTGGAAAATAGAGTACCTGAAATGAAGATTCACTTTAGATACTCAAAAGTAGATTTGATCTGGCAGAAGAATCAGTAAGCTTCGAGCTAGATCATTAGATATTATATAGTCTTAGAACAGAAAGAAAAAAGAATGAAGAAAAACTCAGCAGACTTTGGTTTCTAGTTTGACATATAAAGAGCTTGGAAGTTGCCAATCCTGTCATCACAACAAGAAAAAAGTCTGAAAAACTAGAAATTAACAATTCTTAGGTCCTTCAAAGAATCACAGGACAAATCACTGCTCCAGAAACTAGAGAGACAGGTAGATGCTGAGAATCACAGGTTCACTGAGAGCAGAAGTCCACCATTGAAGTCAATATTTTTTAGCAACACTTAAACTGTAACTGATGAATCACTAGAGACTAGCAATAAAAGTGCCAGCATTGTAGTTGATGAAAATGTTGTGACCAGAGGTTTACATGAACCTAACGCTGTGTTCCTCCTAGAGAAGTTTTTCAGTATTTGCTAATTAGTGTTTGTGGTAGATTTATATAACATAAGCACTCTGAATAAGGAATCAATTGTATATGAAATCTTGACGATCCATTTACATGCAGAAGCAACAACAAATGATATTCTCCACAAATGGAACCAACCCCTAGAAGTTCCTGAGAAATTCCTGTTGAGTAGGAAAAGACATGGAGCCAAGGAGACAAAGTTGGAGATGACTGGTCCTCTCCCTTTGTTCTTTCACTGAAATTACTTGAGAAGCATCATGAGACCTCCTTATACCCAGGGTATGGTGGAAAAATAATTGGCAGGGTTGAAAAGAATTAAGTATATGAAGACTTAAGCATACCACACATGGAGAAGGTGATGGTATAAAGAATGATAATGGTGTCTGAGTAACATTCTGAAGAGGGAGGGAAGTCCAAAAGGTGGGATGTTGTGCCTGGATGAGATACGTGAGGGAGAAAGATTTTCTATGGTGTTTCTGTTAGTTTAGCAGATAGAATGCACCTGTAAAGGGTGCAGGAAGCATGTGGTAGAGTGGATGCATAAGTCTGGGTTTAGGAAGATTTAGAAACAATTTGAAACTCAGGGTCTTACCCTCTGTTCACCTCATAGAACAGTAAAATTCCTTGGATCAGGCAAACTCTAATGAAAAGCCCAGACAACCATCTCTTTCTCTCCCAGATGGCCAATTTTCCTTCTGGTGCTGGCAAATGATGAAGTTGTCTTCAGGAAGGCAGAATTTTGGTGGGTGCTTTCCTATTCTGAGGAGTTATACCACCACACAGCATTTGCTCCCTGAAACATTCACTATCTTGTATTCTAACATGGACCCCTTATAAGGCCTTGCTAACCACTCCATTGATACTTACAGCTAAGAGCCAATGTGTAGGGGTTCAGGCAGAATGGTGAGAGAAATTGTAAAGTTATAGAAAATACCCATGAACCTTTTTGGAAGGCTGGGGATTTGCATAGTTTCAGCAAAAGGTCTTGCTGAAGGCATCCTAATCCTCTTTACCTTGAGTTAATAGCAGGAAAGCAAATAACAGAGGAATATAAAAAATTTATCTAAATAGCTTGTTTACTCATGTGGTCCTAAGACTAATCTTTAACCATCCATGGGTCCATGATTGCTCTCTAGTTGGTGGGTTGCAATGTTAATTACCTTTCAGTGGTGTTTACTCATGACCTTTGTCATTTAATCTGTACTAAATAAATGTAAACTTTGCTGGCTAATCGAAGTGATACTGCAGATTGAGGCAGCAGAACCCCTTAGACTGACAAACAAGAGGTCTGTGTCAGTGTATGTTATTCACCCTTTGTGCAAGCCTGGGTCTACAGGTCAGACCCCAGCAGGTGGTGACCCCAACATAATACCAATGGACTATCTCACTTTATTTTTTCAAACTTACCCAGGGTGCCTTTTCATGTTCTTTCTTCTCACTGGAACTTACCAGCCTTATAGAACACAAGGATGTGTTTGTGGTTATCTTTTCTTTACAAGACAGGTCACATAGACTCACAAGTAGTCTGTGTATACTTTTCTTAAAAATGTGGTGTCACCTGCCTTGGGAATATCAGCCAGCCATATATGAAATCACAGACACAGGAGACCCCTAAGAAAAAGACAAGGCTATCCGTAACTGCCTTAGCAACTAAGCCACTAGTGGATTAGAATCTTAAAATTACAGCGCCATGGAAACATGGAAACACATAATCACAGAATTTTGAATTTGGGTAACACTAGAGAGCTCACATAATTAAACATCTTTACAGAAAATTCTCATTTACTCATTAGAAGTTTGTAACCCTGTAGTATAACCATGTATACACTTTTCTTAAAGAGAGAGAATGGGAATATCTTCTTCAGTTGCTTAATGAAAACATACAAGAAATCTGAAGCCCTAACATACCAGAATCTATGGGACAAAAGGAAAATTATTTGATTATGAGATTCAGAAGCATTTACTGGATCAGGGTTTAGAGATGCTGAACGTAGAGAACAAAGGGTTTGGTTTTGGAAGGAAGGCAAGGGTTAAAGACAGAGCGCAAGAGAGCAGCTTAACAGCAAACACAGGTATATTACAGACACCTGTGGAAGTGGGAAACCTGCTTAATGCCAGAGTCAACCACCACTTACAAGCAGGGGTACTTATAGGCATGGGTGGGAGAACTCTGGACAGTATGACTTGCTACCCGGCAGGATATTGGTAAGATGTGCCCATGATAAGGTGGTTTGTCCCTTTTCCTGGTGAAATGTCATCATGGTGTTCCTTGGGCCTTTGCCCAGCAAAATATGATAGGGAAGTTTCTTTAGTTGGGCCTTTGCCTGGTAGGGTATAATAAGAATGTTTTTTAATTGAGCCTTTGTCCTCCTTGTGGTCAGGTGGTTAGGTAGCATGTTTCTCCATGGCCCAAATCCCTGTGGAATGTTTCACTTTGACAGAGGTCTGAAAAATAGCAGGGGTTTACAAACTGGTGCAGTTGGGAGTAACACAAAAGTAAATGGGATGGGGAAAGGTAGATCAAGAAAGCGGCTTCCTTTATTTATCCCTTCTCTTGAAATGTCTTCATTATGAAGACTTTCATTCTTCTGCCTTTGGAGTTAAAATACAAAATTTGAATTTTAACACAGAAGTGTGAATGCTGGTATTTCTGAAATCAAATTCTTATAATCCCCAGGCTAGTGACAGCTTGCCTGGGCAACCAAGTAACTTAAGTTCATAAGTAAACACTGACTCTGCTGAAACTGAATAACTCATTTTAACTTCTGAACATTTTAAGCATTTCTTATTCTGGATAAGAAAGAGAAATGCTGGGGCCAGGCACAGTGGCTCACGCCTGTAATCCCAGCACTTTGGGAGGCCGAGGTGGGTGGATCACGAGGTCAAGAGATCAAGACCATCCTGGTCAACATGGTGAAACCCCATCTCTACTAAAAATACAAAAAATTAGCTGGGCACGGTGACACGTGCCTGTAATCCCAGCTACTCAGGAGGCTGAGGCAGGAGAATTGCTGGAACCCAGGAGGTGGAGGTTGCGGTGAGCCGAGATCGCGTGCCATTGCACTCCAGCCTGGGTAACGAGAGAAACTCCATCTCAAAAAAAAAAGAGAAATGCTGAAGCAGAATTTATTTCATCTGCTTTAGATGCATTTAGGAATCACTTGCAAGGCATAAAATTAATTTTGTGATCCTTTGCCTCATATGGATTTCTGAAGAAATTCTAGATTCAGAGGAGGTCTGGGCCAGATTTTGGTTAAGGCAATGACATGGAAAGATTTTTCAAAGAAGAGGTTAAAAAATGTAGTTGAGTTTTTCATAATCAGGAATTTGAGAGGGTATAATGGAAGTTGTTAGGTTAGACAAGGGTTAAAGAGAGATAGACAGTTGGTAAATCTAAAGCAAACACAAGTTTTCTGTCTAGCACAAGACTTGCAGAGGTTGGGGACCAGCTTAATGCCAGAACCCACTGCCACTTACAGGCTGAGGTACGTACAGGTGTGGGTGAGAGGGGTCTGGGCAGCATGGCTTGCTGCCTGGCAGGATGTTGATAAGATGTTCCCATGATGAGGTGGTTTGATCTTTGTTCTGGCAGAATATGATATGATGTTCCTTGGACTTCTTCCCAGCAGAATATGATAAGAAAGTCAGGTGGTTGGGCAGAATGTTTCTGATGGCCCAAACCCCATGGACTGTTTCACTTTGACCGAGGTCTGTGAAATAGTGTGAGGCTTACAAAATGGTACAGTTTGGACTAACATTCTGACCTTCTACTTTAGTATGAAAGGAAATGGGGCATTGCTGATTATCTGGATGCTCCCTGCTGAATAGGGGCACTGTAATCACGGTTTGGGTTTTGTAGCAGTGGGTGTCTGACTTCAGAGTTGTTTTCCTGGAGGTACTGATACTGGACTTCATGGAAGAAAAGGATAGTATCAATGTGTTTCTGGTTGGCTGCCTGGACAAGGGAGTTCTGCCTTTGGGAGATAAAGTGGGATATGAAGGTGAATATACATGGGCCAATTGTTAGGAGGAAGATTAGGGACCATGAGAAAGGGCAAGTGGATATCCCCAGGCCAAATGCAGCAGAGATGCTTAGTCCTGCTACCAGGGAAATGAAGTGTATAGCCCACTTGGTGTGTATGGAGGAGGAGGAAATAGGGATTACTAAAGGAACCTGAATGGTTTTGTTAGGCAAAATGTTAATGTTTGGAGATTGAAACACCAGGGTGCATGTTTCTGACCAACTTGCCAGTAGGCAAAGATGAGAGTCTGTTCCATACAGAAAAAGGCCAGGGGTTGACAGACAATGCTGTAAGTGAAGGCAGTGAGCCATGAGAAGGTGGGGGTTGAATCCTCAACAAACTTTTGTCCCAACGTTTTTGATTTTCCAGGCTGAATAACTGTTAACAAGGGTAATCACTGCTAGGGCCTGGTGACGTTGGTGGTGAAGGCCGTTTGGTTTTGGAGAGAGAGATAGAAATGTGTTTTTATTAACTAACAGCCACTGCAGTTCTGAAAGGGAAGAAGGATAAAGGTGGCAGTTGACGGAACTGTGCATTTTCTTTAGGAAGTTCCCTTACGTTGGATACATGGAGAGCAGTGCCGGCAAAGAGGGAGGGTTGGCAAGGGATGTTTTATAGAATTCAGTCTGTAACATGTTTCCTTTACAGGCTTTGAGGCAAAGGAAGGTGCCAGGTGGATTTGATGGATTGCAGGGAAAGGTGTTTAGCCAAACAAGATTATAAACAGGTTTTGGGAATAGATTGGTTGAATAGGTGAGATGCAAGTTTACTTTGGATCAAGTTTCTGTGGTTAGGTTAACAGGAAGGGCTGTGAACTGCTGGACTTGTGTGGACAAACAAATTTAACAATTGGAAGAAAGGGAAAAGTGACTGATTTAAGAGGTAGTGTGTAGAAAAAAAAACTTCAGGCCAATATCCATGATGAACATAGATGCAAAAATCTTCAATAAAATGCTGGCAAACTGGCTGCAACAGCATATCAGAAAGCTTATCCATCACGATCAAGTAGGCTTCATCCCGGGGATGCAAGGCTGGTTCAACATACGCAAGTCTATAAACATAATTCACCACATAAACAGAACCAAAGACAAAAACCACATGATTATCTCAACTGATGCAGAGAAGGCCTTTGACAAAATTCAACAGCCCTTTATGCTAAAAACCCTCAATAAACTAGGTATTGACAGAACATATCTCAAAATAATAAAAGTTATTTACTACAAACCAACATCCAATATCATGCTGAATGGGCAAAAACTGGAAGCATTCCCTTTGAAATCTGGCACTAGATAAGGATGCCCTCTCTCACCACTCTTATTCAATGTAGTACTGGAAGTTCTAGCCTGAGCATTCAGGCAAGAAAAAGAAATAAAGTGTATTCAAATAGGAAAAGAGGAAGTCAAATTGTCTATTTGCAGACGACATGATTGTATATCTAGAAGACCCCATCATTTCAGCCCAAAATCTGAAACTGATAAGCAACTTCAGCAAAGTCTCATGATACAAAATCAATGTGCAAAAATCACAAACATTCCTATACACCAATAGAGAGCCAAATACACCAAAGAGAGCCAAATCAAGAACGAACTGCCATTCACAATTGCTACAAAGACAATAAAATACCTAGGAATACAACTAACAAAGACTGTAAAGGACCTCTTCAAGGAGAACTACAAACCACTGCTCAATAAATAAGAGAGGACACAAACAGATGGAGAAACATTCCATGTTCATGGTTAGGAAGAATCAATATCGTGAAAATGGCCATACTGCCCAAAGTAATTTACAGATTCAATGGTCTCCCCATCAAGCTGCCAATGACCTTCTTCACAGAACTGGAAAAAACCACCTTAAACTTCATATGGAACCAAAAGAGAGCCCTCATAGCCAAGTCAATTCTAAGCAAAAAGAACAAAGCGGGAGGCATCACACTACTGGACTTCAAACTATACTACAAGGCTACAGTAATCAAAACAGCATGGTACTGGTGCCAAAACAGAGATATAGACCAATGGAACAGAGCAGAGGCCTTGGAGGCAACACAACATATCTACAACCATCTGATCTTTGACAAACCTGACAAAAACAAGCAATGGGGCAAGGATTCCTTGTTTAGTAAATGGTGTTGGGAAAACTGGCTAGCCATGTGCAGAAAGCAGAAACTGGACCCCTTCCTGACACCTTACACTAAAATTAACTCCAGATGGATTAAAGACTTAAACATAAGACCTGGCACCATAAAAACCCTAGAAGAAAATCTAGGTAAAACCATTCAGGAGAGTAGGCAAGGACTTCATGACCAAAACACCAAAAGCATTGGCAACAAAAGCCAAAATAGACAAATGGGACCTAATCAAACTCCACAGCTTCTGCAAGGCAAAGGAAACAGTCATTAGAGTGAATCGGCAACCAACAGAGTGGAAAAAAATGTTTGCAGTTTACCCATCTGACAAAGGGCTGATAACGAGAATCTACAAAGAACTAAAACAGATTTACAAGAAAAAAACAAAGAAGCCGATTCAAAAGTGGGAAATGACAGACACTTTACAAAAGAAGACATACATGAGGCCAACAAACATATAAAAAAATGCTCATCATTACTGGTCATTAG